AGGCATGTGTAAAGAGGAAGAAAAAGAAGTAGATGATAGCTAAATTTTTAACATCCTATGCCATTCTTAAGAATATGGTACCTATTCAGAATGTTGGGTTTTTTGGTTCCCATACTGCTTTTGACTGACTTGAGCAAATCTCTATGGTCAGTTATTCTATAGAGCCCATTTTTCTGATAGTTTGTGCTCATATCAGTTCACAGAACTGAGAGTTGAAATACATTAACCTTCAATATGTCAAATTTCCATCAGCTCAAATTCAGTTTATTTAAAATACAGTGTAACACATAAATATAAAATAAACCAGGTGGTCAATTACAAGCATCCAAGATCAACATAATGAGTAAGCATTTGCTCAACAGTCTGCATAAAGGGTCTAAAAAATATTTTCCTGCACAAACATAATAGAAAGACATTACCACAAGGAAAAAAAAAAGGTTCTTCAAACAGCCCAGCTCAGAAAACAGAAAGAAATCCTTCTCAGAAGTACTTGTGCATGCTTATCATCCTGATAATTCCCTTTCAGGCTATAAACAATTCCCCCAAGCAGCAAAATATAAACAGAGCATCAGGACCTTTTCCAGGTACCAATGTGGGAAAGAAATAATGTGATAAGTTTACAATTCATGCTAAGGCATTGACCAGAGTTTACAAATCACAAAAGCTGAGTTCACAGATCATGCTCAAACAAAACCCAAACAAACTGTGGAAACGTGGCCATAGGGTATATTTTCCCTCACAATCCCTTCTTCCCAATAGTAATTCCCTTATGAAGGCTACCAGTGCTGGGTTCATACAAACTTAAATCAAAACCAGGCTTTTAAAGCACTGTTTACTGAATATGCCATAATTGGCTGGTTTGTTTAGACACAACTAAACAAACTGTATTACTGTTTCATGACTTGATGAACCCAGCTAGAAGCTGGCTTCTAGAACCATATCAGCATAAGAGGGACACTTCACTTTGATGAAGCTTTAAGTGACTCGCTCATTACAGGAAAACTGTAAATTGCTTCCCCTTTCTAAGCAGCAGAATAGTATGAATGAAGAAGATTTGTCTCTCCTCATTGCTTCATATGGCATAGCACATATTATCTCCAACATGTAAAGTAAGGCTCAAAGGAGAACATACAACCTCCATCACAAGAAGTAAAGTGCTAAGGGAAAGCAAGTTTGCATCACACATCCCTACTAGATACAGAGAAATAAGCTTTCCTAAACATTTTCAAGCATGATTTGCTATTTATCTATTTTTGTGTTGGCATAAGATTGCCAACTAGGTTGCAATCCCTGTCTCCAGAACCCAGTAAAGAGTACCATTTCCCTAGGCTATATCTGAAACCTGTAGGCATCCAAGTGTCCACAACTGGAAATGCTTGAAAGTTTATGTTTTTGTAACAAAGTATAGGCAAAGCTACTCAATTTATTTTTCTTCTTTCCAACCCAAGAGAGTATTAAAATAAATTATGTAAAGCAGGGGTTCTTAATCTGGGGTCCATGGATAGATTTCAGAGGGGCTGGGAACCTGAACAGGAAAAAAAATTACAACTTTATTTTCACTAACCTCTACAGTAATTGAAATCGAATTTCATTCAGTAATGAATGTTGGCAACAAAGTATTTTATGGCCTCTAGACTCCCAAGATGTTTAACTTAAATTTCACTACAGTATCTAAAATTATTATACCCTTAAAAAGCAAAACTAGTATACACGTGGTTGTGTAAAGTACCATTTCCTCAAAAGCATGTAACTGATAATTGTCAACACAGTTTACATTTCCAAGGTTCTTTTGTACCTAAATATTCATACAAACCATTAATCCTATGATTCTAGAAATCTAGAATCCATTGTGTTTGTTTTCCAAGAAGTCTTTTCTATATCTATGTATCTTATTTTATCCATTTAAATACACTTTTTGCAAAGGGGTCCATGGTTTCACCAGACTCCCAAAGTGATCAAAAGCACATAAAGTTAAGAACCCTGAAGTAAAGGGATTCAAAACTCTGTCCTTCAGCAGGATAACTCTCTGAAAATGGAACAGAAGGGGGCCAAATTTAGTGTGACAGAAAAAGTAGTCAAAAGAAAAAAATCACCTACGGGAAAGGAAGTTGGTCAGTGGCTGGAATGCTGCTGACTGCTTCATGCTAAACCTCCTCTTTCCTGGATACATAACACACAACAGAACACATGAAGCCCATTTCATGCTTTCCAGTGCGCACACATAAACAATATACAGACGCAAAATGACGGGATAGCAGAAGCCACACAAAGGCAACACATATGCAACCTCTCTAAGTAGTCTCTAGGGGAAAAGGTGCACACAAAGACATAATCTACTATTTTGTTACACAAAAGAAAATACAGACATCTTCTTTGCCATTGTTGGTAAAAGTTTTGGAAAGAATTCAAGAAGCCCTGCTCTGCAACCTTTATCTATCTTGTTTTATTTGTTTTACCCACAATAAGGTATTAGTACAGTGGTACCTCGGGATATGAACGCCTCTACTAACGAACATTTCAGGTTACGACCAGCTTCGGCAGGAAAAATTTACCTCAGGTTACGAAGTTGCCTCTAGTTACGAACCGGATCTGCGGCCATTTTCCCTGCTGCCACGTGGTCACGGCTTCCTGTGGGAGAGGTCGCGGTAGCAAGGAGATGTTCGGTGAGGCTTGTGGTGTGTTTTGCAGTGTTTTGCA